TGTCTGGTGCAGATTCTATGTTGGTTTTGTCAATCAGGTGAGATGGGTTGTTACCAAAAACTGAAAATGGCAGCCAAAAAAAACCAACAATGTTCTATCAGTTTTCACATGAAAGGTTTGCCCTTGTATGTTACGAATATAACATTAACACATTAAAGATGCACAACATTGTATTTCTGTTGTTTTTCAGAGATGTAATTCCTGAAGTAGTTCAGCAAATAAGTCAGGAAATTGCTGAATTTTAATATGGACAAGGAGGAAGTTACAAAATGATTATTATGAGAAATAACATAGAATCAAGAAATCAAGAAGTGGCAAGAAGTGTCCATATAATCCAAAATAACATAGAATCAAGAAATCACTCACCACTTAAAAATCTGAAAAAAAATCAACAAAACCTATTCCAAATTTTCAAACCTACCAAACAGGTATAAAAATCAGAAGAGACAAGAAGAACTCACAGTCCAAGGACACAGCGGGTAACATCGCGACCCTTGTCAAGACACTTTTCAGGGTTAGGATCCTTCTTCTTGCACTTCAGAAAATCCAAGTTCTCAGAGTGGCACCGGATCCCAATGTGCTTCGATGATGCCATCAACACCGACGACGATGGGATTGGATTTCCCGAGGAATCTACTGCGCTCGCCATGTGCAGTTCAATACTTGTTAGCCACAACAAAAAAGAGAAAGCGCAATTCGATCAGCGTCGTTATGTTCCTGAAAAAAATGAAAGTAAATTACTGGGAAAATGAGGGAAATAGAAAATGGAGAACGGAAAGGCATTTACGACATTGCCCTTACCCGTGGTTGTTGGGAAGAAGCGAAGTGGACAAGATCAAAAGGATGCTCTCGTAATTTGGTTAAGAAATAAGCTTCCAATTTACTGTTAATATGGAAATTAATTCCATAGTAGCATTATATTACTACTGGTAACATATAAGATGTTACTTGCTAAAAGAAATTGTCCTTCTAAAGATTTTTAAAATAATAAAATGCATAACTTCAATGTCAGAGTTTTTATTATTACAATAATTGAACAAATACAGACCTTAAATTTGATCATTGGGCAATGTTACACATATAAAACAAAAAATCATATTATATTATTTTTTTATTTTCAAAATTCTTTTCAAAGACTCTATTCATATATTGAATACCTTTTTTTTTTAATTTCACCCAACTAATACTAATAAATTGATTTAGATTAATAATTCTAAATCTAAATCTAATTTAATCTCATGAAATTAATTTATAAAGTTAATTTTACATTTACTTATTAATTATAATTGGATTGGTCATATAATACAAATTTGTTAACACATTTTTTCTATATAATTTGGTCGGTCATATAATATAACAAATTTAATACCCCTTTTCATAAAAAGGTACCAGACAAGTCAAGTGTGAAAGCAAAGAAAAATTGAATAAAGGATGGACATAAATTCAATAAACTCTACTAAAATTGATTTTATTACCACATTAAAAAATATATTTCAAATATATCTCAACTTCACAATAAAAAAATTAATTTAATTAAATAAGATTTGCATTGATGAAAAATCTCCACACAAGATGAATGGAAAACTAAAATCTTACGAGACAACGATTCCTTACCTAATTTAGTTACTTCCTTGTTTTAGTTCTACTGCTGAGTGATTGTTTCTATAAAAGGCATAAGACACGCCTTTGCAATATTACTCTTATTCAAAGCACAATCTGCATTGGCTAGACTTCAATGAATGTTTTTTCACATTAATCAGCCAACAAAGTCTAGAAAACAACTTAAATAAGGTTAAGTCTAATTGGAGTCATAACACGAACTGCAATTTTGAAGTTCTACAATAATAATTTGTTTCAGGGAAAAAAATTACATGGTTGATTCTTTTATTTTGGTGTGCTACTTGTGCTTTGACTGCTTCGTGTTTTACTTGCCTACTTCAGTTGGCAGGAACCACCCAGGCATCAGAAATATTCCTTTTGAACATAGAACCAAATTACAACCATATCGCAACAGTAAACATTTCATGTCAGTTATTATGTTTAAAGAGATTTAGTTTTGTTCTGCATGCATGCAATTCTGCAGAAAATTTTAGAGCAAAAACATTGTCCATGGTAATATTTCAACACTGTTGTATAAACAGAAAAGATCAATGATTTTTTGGAAAACAGGGGCATTGACTCACTCCAAATGGGCTGTTATTATTTTAGACAACACAGTGCTTAGTTTCATTCCAAAGAACACTTTTGCTCGAATGCTTGCTGCTCTTTGCGACACAAGTCAAATTCATTTGTATGGTAGTACATGCAGCCAACATAATCATCCATCTCCTTTGTGCACTTTTGATGCAGATCTTTCAAACTGCAGAAAAAGAATTTGAACACCATCACCCATAAATGTACATGGAAAAAAAAAACATAAAACGTGACATAATGCATCAGTCAATGATGAAAGACCATCATACCAGGGGATCATCATACTGAAAGCTTTCAGCTATAACATATCAACCAAGACACAAAATTATGTGCATCTCAAAATATTATAGTATAGGTATAACTGTTACTATAGCAGTACATCTATCTCTTGAACTCCCAACTAACTGAGTTAGATATAGGTTTGTTACAGGTTAGTCAGAACTCTTTTATATTCTGTTAGGTTTAGTTAGCTAGTTAGATTCATGGACTTGACTGTACTCTGTTACTATGGGAATTACATGTTCCTTTTCACAGGATACCTAAAATCTTTCTCATTCTCTCTCATCCTTAATACAAAAGGAACATGTAACAGATAGAAGCAAATAGTATAAATCTGGGTGTATCTTTGTGAAGAAAAATAATATTACGAAAAAATTATATTATTTGTCACAGAAAAATGCATTAAGCATTGATACTAATGAACGTAGGGATGATCATAGAATATTTGGGATCAAAAATCCAAATCCATTTTAACTATATCAAATTGATTTGGATTTTTCCAATCCAATTTAAATTGGATTAAATCTAGATTAAATCCACTTGGTGAATTAGATTAAATCTGAGTTGGATTGGCCTAATTGACCTAATGTGAGATCAACCTAACTCAGTTTGACATGGACCCGATGCATCAACCAAACACAAGTCTAACTTGACTTGGCCCAGTCTATCTCAATTCCACCTAAGTCTAACTCGTCCTGGACACAACTCAATTTTGACCCAAGCTTATCTAATCCCAATTCAACTTGGCCTAACTCGGGCCCTACATAACTTGACTGAACATTGGGCCGAATCAATTTAGCTCTACCTAACATAGGGTAGACCTTACTCATCTTGACAAGGCCCCAACCCAATGTCTCGACCCCACACAAGCCAACTAGACTTTGCCTAACGTAACCCTAAATCCTAAACCTAACCCAATCCATTTCAATTTCACTTAGACCTGACTCGACTTGGACCTAACCAGACTCAACTTGAGTTGGACTTAGCTTGACCTACACCTAGCCCAACTTGATTGAAAGTGGGCTTGCCCAAACTTGGGTAGACTTTGGCATGGTCCAACCCGATGTCTCAACCCAACACAACCGAACTAAACTTGGCTAGACCTGACTTGGTCTGTCTCGGTCTTACGTGACATGGGCTCACATTGTCTCAGCTTGACACGACCTAAGTCGAGTCAGCTAGGGTTGGCTTGACTTGGTCCTGATCGGTCTTAATTGAGTTAGGCTTGACTTGGTCTTGGTCGAAATATGATTGAATTAGGCATAGCCCAACTCAGTTGAATGTGGACTAGCCCCCAACTTTGATGAATGTGGACTTGCCTCGGCTCAACTAAATGTGGGCCAGGCCAACTTGGCTCAGCCTAGGCCCAGGCAAACTTGACTTGGCTTGACTCTAACCAAGGCTAACACAACCCAACCTTGCATAAGCCCTGACCCAATGCTACCTTACTTAGCTTCTCCTATTGAGTATTCATCCAATCAAGTCATTATCCTAATTGTTTTTGATCATCCTATTGTGTCTATGTGTACTTACCCCCACCTCCACCAACTACTCAAGTGTATTGTCATTGACAGATTCCCTATCATCCACCTAATGACTCTCTTGTGCCAACTCCTCCATTCCCTCCAACTCCAACCGTTGAATTTGATCTTCCCATTGCCCTCCGTAAAGGTATACACTTTACTTGTAATCCCTCCCTTCATTACACTCCTTTGAATTTCAAATTTTGTAGGTGATGCCTTAGCCCATCTCGGTTGGCTTCAAAAATGTTTTTCTCGATGGGGATTTGTAGGAAGAAATTTATATGGTGTAACCTCTAGGTTTTGTTGCTTAAGGGGGGAGTCTTCTGAATTGGTATGTCATCTCCCCAAATCTTTATATGGCCTCAAGCAGTCTCATAGGGCTTGGTTTGACAAATTTAGTACGATTGTTTAACAATTTGGTATCACTTGTAGTGAGGTAGATCATTCAATATTTTACCATCACTCAAATGCCAAGTGTATCTATTTAGCATTATATGTTTATGATATTTTGCTTATACATAGTGATCACCATGGCATCTCAGGTAAAGCAACAATTTTGTCATTACTTTCAAACCATAAACCTTGGCAAACTCAAATACTTTTTGGGGCTAGAGGTAACACAATCCAACAATGGAATTGTTATTTCTCAAAGGAATTATGCATTGGATATTTTGGACAAAACTGGGCTAATGAACTCAAAGTCTATTGAGACACCCATGGATCCCAATGTCAAACTCTTACCTAATCAGAGGGAGACCCTCCCAGATCTTGCAAAGTATTGAAGATTAGTTGAAAAATTGAATTATCTTATAGTAACTNAAACATTTCATGTCAGTTATTATGTTTAAAGAGATTTAGTTTTGTTCTGCATGCATGCAATTCTGCAGAAAATTTTAGAGCAAAAACATTGTCCATGGTAATATTTCAACACTGTTGTATAAACAGAAAAGATCAATGATTTTTTGGAAAACAGGGGCATTGACTCACTCCAAATGGGCTGTTATTATTTTAGACAACACAGTGCTTAGTTTCATTCCAAAGAACACTTTTGCTCGAATGCTTGCTGCTCTTTGCGACACAAGTCAAATTCATTTGTATGGTAGTACATGCAGCCAACATAATCATCCATCTCCTTTGTGCACTTTTGATGCAGATCTTTCAAACTGCAGAAAAAGAATTTGAACACCATCACCCATAAATGTACATGGAAAAAAAAAACATAAAACGTGACATAATGCATCAGTCAATGATGAAAGACCATCATACCAGGGGATCATCATACTGAAAGCTTTCAGCTATAACATATCAACAAAAACACAAAATTATGTGCATCTCAAAATATTATAGTATAGGTATAACTGTTACTATAGCAGTACATCTATCTCTTGAACTCCCAACTAACTAAGAAAAAAATAGGTTTGTTACAGGTTAGTCAGAACTCTTTTATATTCTGTTAGGTTTAGTTAGCTAGTTAGATTCATGGACTTGACTGTACTCTGTTACTATGGGAATTACATGTTCCTTTTCACAGGATACCTAAAATCTTTCTCATTCTCTCTCATCCTTAATACAAAAGGAACATGTAACAGATAGAAGCAAATAGTATAAATCTGGGTGTATCTTTGTGAAGAAAAATAATATTACGAAAAAATTATATTATTTGTCACAGAAAAATGCATTAAGCATTGATACTAATGAACGTAGGGATGATCATAGAATATTTGGGATCAAAAATCAAAATCCATTTTAACTATATCAAATTGATTTGGATTTTTCCAATCCAATTTAAATTGGATTAAATCTAGATTAAATCCACTTGGTGAATTAGATTAAATCTGAGTTGGATTGGCCTAATTGACCTAATGTGAGATCAACCTAACTCAGTTTGACATGGACCCGATGCATCAACCAAACACAAGTCTAACTTGACATGGCCCAGTCTATCTCAATTCCACCTAAGTCTAACTCGTCCTGGACACAACTCAATTTTGACCCAAGCTTATCTAATCCCAATTCAACTTGGCCTAACTCGGGCCCTACATAACTTGACTAAACATTGGGCCGAATCAATTTAGCTCTACCTAACATAGGGTAGACCTTACTCATCTTGACAAGGCCCCAACCCAATGTCTCGACCCCACACAAGCCAACTAGACTTTGCCTAACGTAACCCTAAATCCTAAACCTAACCCAATCCATTTCAATTTCACTTAGACCTGACTCGACTTGGACCTAACCAGACTCAACTTGAGTTGGACTTAGCTTGANAGATGCACAACATTGTATTTCTGTTGTTTTTCAGAGATGTAATTCCTGAAGTAGTTCAGCAAATAAGTCAGGAAATTGCTGAATTTTAATATGGACAAGGAGGAAGTTACAAAATGATTATTATGAGAAATAACATAGAATCAAGAAATCAAGAAGTGGCAAGAAGTGTCCATATAATCCAAAATAACATAGAATCAAGAAATCACTCACCACTTAAAAATCTGAAAAAAAATCAACAAAACCTATTCCAAATTTTCAAACCTACCAAACAGGTATAAAAATCAGAAGAGACAAGAAGAACTCACAGTCCAAGGACACAGCGGGTAACATCGCGACCCTTGTCAAGACACTTTTCAGGGTTAGGATCCTTCTTCTTGCACTTCAGAAAATCCAAGTTCTCAGAGTGGCACAGGATCCCAATGTGCTTCGATGATGCCATCAACACCGACGACGAAGGGATAGGGTTTCCCGAGGCATCTACAGCGCTCGCCATGTGCAGTTCAATACTTGTTAGCCACAACAAAAAAGAGAAAGCGCAATTCGATCAGCGTCGTTATGTTCCTGAAAAAAATGAAAGTAAATTACTGGGAAAATGAGGGAAATAGAAAATGGAGAACGGAAAGGCATTTACGACATTGCCCTTACCCGTGGTTGTTGGGAAGAAGCGAAGTGGACAAGATCAAAAGGATGCTCTCGTAATTTGGTTAAGAAATAAGCTTCCAATTTACTGTTAATATGGAAATTAATTCCATAGTAGCATTATATTACTACTGGTAACATATAAGATGTTACTTGCTAAAAGAAATTGTCCTTCTAAAGATTTTTAAAATAATAAAATGCATAACTTCAATGTCAGAGTTTTTATTATTACAATAATTGAACAAATACAGACCTTAAATTTGATCATTGGGCAATGTTACACATATAAAACAAAAAATCATATTATATTATTTTTTTATTTTCAAAATTCTTTTCAAAGACTCTATTCATATATTGAATACCTTTTTTTTTTAATTTCACCCAACTAATACTAATAAATTGATTTAGATTAATAATTCTAAATCTAAATCTAATTTAATCTCATGAAATTAATTTATAAAGTTAATTTTACATTTACTTATTAATTATAATTGGATTGGTCATATAATACAAATTTGTTAACACATTTTTTCTATATAATTTGGTCGGTCATATAATATAACAAATTTAATACCCCTTTTCATAAAAAGGTACCAGACAAGTCAAGTGTGAAAGCAAAGAAAAATTGAATAAAGGATGGACATAAATTCAATAAACTCTACTAAAATTGATTTTATTACCACATTAAAAAATATATTTCAAATATATCTCAACTTCACAATAAAAAAATTAATTTAATTAAATAAGATTTGCATTGATGAAAAATCTCCACACAAGATGAATGGAAAACTAAAATCTTACGAGACAACGATTCCTTACCTAATTTAGTTACTTCCTTGTTTTAGTTCTACTGCTGAGTGATTGTTTCTATAAAAGGCATAAGACACGCCTTTGCAATATTACTCTTATTCAAAGCACAATCTGCATTGGCTAGACTTCAATGAATGTTTTTTCACATTAATCAGCCAACAAAGTCTAGAAAACAACTTAAATAAGGTTAAGTCTAATTGGAGTCATAACACGAACTGCAATTTTGAAGTTCTACAATAATAATTTGTTTCAGGGAAAAAAATTACATGGTTGATTCTTTTATTTTGGTGTGCTACTTGTGCTTTGACTGCTTCGTGTTTTACTTGCCTACTTCAGTTGGCAGGAACCACCCAGGCATCAGAAATATTCCTTTTGAACATAGAACCAAATTACAACCATATCGCAACAGTAAACATTTCATGTCAGTTATTATGTTTAAAGAGATTTAGTTTTGTTCTGCATGCATGCAATTCTGCAGAAAATTTTAGAGCAAAAACATTGTCCATGGTAATATTTCAACACTGTTGTATAAACAGAAAAGATCAATGATTTTTTGGAAAACAGGGGCATTGACTCACTCCAAATGGGCTGTTATTATTTTAGACAACACAGTGCTTAGTTTCATTCCAAAGAACACTTTTGCTCGAATGCTTGCTGCTCTTTGCGACACAAGTCAAATTCATTTGTATGGTAGTACATGCAGCCAACATAATCATCCATCTCCTTTGTGCACTTTTGATGCAGATCTTTCAAACTGCAGAAAAAGAATTTGAACACCATCACCCATAAATGTACATGGAAAAAAAAAACATAAAACGTGACATAATGCATCAGTCAATGATGAAAGACCATCATACCAGGGGATCATCATACTGAAAGCTTTCAGCTATAACATATCAACCAAGACACAAAATTATGTGCATCTCAAAATATTATAGTATAGGTATAACTGTTACTATAGCAGTACATCTATCTCTTGAACTCCCAACTAACTGAGTTAGATATAGGTTTGTTACAGGTTAGTCAGAACTCTTTTATATTCTGTTAGGTTTAGTTAGCTAGTTAGATTCATGGACTTGACTGTACTCTGTTACTATGGGAATTACATGTTCCTTTTCACAGGATACCTAAAATCTTTCTCATTCTCTCTCATCCTTAATACAAAAGGAACATGTAACAGATAGAAGCAAATAGTATAAATCTGGGTGTATCTTTGTGAAGAAAAATAATATTACGAAAAAATTATATTATTTGTCACAGAAAAATGCATTAAGCATTGATACTAATGAACGTAGGGATGATCATAGAATATTTGGGATCAAAAATCCAAATCCATTTTAACTATATCAAATTGATTTGGATTTTTCCAATCCAATTTAAATTGGATTAAATCTAGATTAAATCCACTTGGTGAATTAGATTAAATCTGAGTTGGATTGGCCTAATTGACCTAATGTGAGATCAACCTAACTCAGTTTGACATGGACCCGATGCATCAACCAAACACAAGTCTAACTTGACTTGGCCCAGTCTATCTCAATTCCACCTAAGTCTAACTCGTCCTGGACACAACTCAATTTTGACCCAAGCTTATCTAATCCCAATTCAACTTGGCCTAACTCGGGCCCTACATAACTTGACTGAACATTGGGCCGAATCAATTTAGCTCTACCTAACATAGGGTAGACCTTACTCATCTTGACAAGGCCCCAACCCAATGTCTCGACCCCACACAAGCCAACTAGACTTTGCCTAACGTAACCCTAAATCCTAAACCTAACCCAATCCATTTCAATTTCACTTAGACCTGACTCGACTTGGACCTAACCAGACTCAACTTGAGTTGGACTTAGCTTGACCTACACCTAGCCCAACTTGATTGAAAGTGGGCTTGCCCAAACTTGGGTAGACTTTGGCATGGTCCAACCCGATGTCTCAACCCAACACAACCGAACTAAACTTGGCTAGACCTGACTTGGTCTGTCTCGGTCTTACGTGACATGGGCTCACATTGTCTCAGCTTGACACGACCTAAGTCGAGTCAGCTAGGGTTGGCTTGACTTGGTCCTGATCGGTCTTAATTGAGTTAGGCTTGACTTGGTCTTGGTCGAAATATGATTGAATTAGGCATAGCCCAACTCAGTTGAATGTGGACTAGCCCCCAACTTTGATGAATGTGGACTTGCCTCGGCTCAACTAAATGTGGGCCAGGCCAACTTGGCTCAGCCTAGGCCCAGGCAAACTTGACTTGGCTTGACTCTAACCAAGGCTAACACAACCCAACCTTGCATAAGCCCTGACCCAATGCTACCTTACTTAGCTTCTCCTATTGAGTATTCATCCAATCAAGTCATTATCCTAATTGTTTTTGATCATCCTATTGTGTCTATGTGTACTTACCCCCACCTCCACCAACTACTCAAGTGTATTGTCATTGACAGATTCCCTATCATCCACCTAATGACTCTCTTGTGCCAACTCCTCCATTCCCTCCAACTCCAACCGTTGAATTTGATCTTCCCATTGCCCTCCGTAAAGGTATACACTTTACTTGTAATCCCTCCCTTCATTACACTCCTTTGAATTTCAAATTTTGTAGGTGATGCCTTAGCCCATCTCGGTTGGCTTCAAAAATGTTTTTCTCGATGGGGATTTGTAGGAAGAAATTTATATGGTGTAACCTCTAGGTTTTGTTGCTTAAGGGGGGAGTCTTCTGAATTGGTATGTCATCTCCCCAAATCTTTATATGGCCTCAAGCAGTCTCATAGGGCTTGGTTTGACAAATTTAGTACGATTGTTTAACAATTTGGTATCACTTGTAGTGAGGTAGATCATTCAATATTTTACCATCACTCAAATGCCAAGTGTATCTATTTAGCATTATATGTTTATGATATTTTGCTTATACATAGTGATCACCATGGCATCTCAGGTAAAGCAACAATTTTGTCATTACTTTCAAACCATAAACCTTGGCAAACTCAAATACTTTTTGGGGCTAGAGGTAACACAATCCAACAATGGAATTGTTATTTCTCAAAGGAATTATGCATTGGATATTTTGGACAAAACTGGGCTAATGAACTCAAAGTCTATTGAGACACCCATGGATCCCAATGTCAAACTCTTACCTAATCAGAGGGAGACCCTCCCAGATCTTGCAAAGTATTGAAGATTAGTTGAAAAATTGAATTATCTTATAGTAACTTGCCCTGACATTTCCTTTGTAGTCAATGTGGTGAGTCAATTTCTTAATTCTCTAAATGTTGATCATTGGCATGTTGTGATTTGTATATTGAAGTACATTAAAGGTTCTCTCAGAAAAGGTTTGATATATGGACACAATAATCACACTAAGGTTGTATGTTATTCAAATGTTGATTGGACATACTCTCTTTTTGACAAGAGATCCACTTCCAAATATTGTCTTCATGGGTATAATTTGATCTCTTAGAAAGAAACAAAATGTTGTAGCAAGATCTAGTGTGGAAGCAGAATATAAAGCTATAACCTTAGCTACTTGTGAGCTTATATGGTTAAACAGTTACTTAAAAAATTGCATTTTAGAGAGGTCACTCAAATTACACTTATATGTAATCATGAAGTTGTTCTTCATATTAGCTCAAATCCCACATTTTAGAGAGGTCACTCAAATGACACTTATATGTAATCATGAAGTTGCTCTTCATATTAGCTCAAATCCCGTCTTTTATGAAAGGGCCAAACATTAAGATTAGTTGTCATTTTATTCGAGAAAAGATTGTATTTGGAGATATCCAGATTGAGTTTATTAATTCTAATGATAAACTAGCATATACTTTTACTAAATCATTGTAGGACCTTATAATTGATTATATTTGTAACAAGTTTGGTACATACAAATTATATTCATGGTTTGAGCAAGTTCTCTGATCCTCTTCTGGTGGTCTCTGTTGTCTGCCGGCGGCCGGCCGCCATGGCCGCCGGCAGCCCCTAAAATCTCAATTGTCAGTCCATTTTTTTCTTCTTAAATCTCTACCACAGTCAGCACCAGTCCAGACCCAGTGTGCCAATGCTGTCGCCGCCACTTTCCGATGTCGTCGCTGCTAACTCCGGCCATCGTCGCCGCTGCTGCCGTCGCTGCCGCCACCGCCGGCCACCGTCACAGTTTCGATGGGTGACCTGTGGATCTCGACCGTCTCTTCGAGCGACGGCCAACCACGCCGGTTTCGAGAGCCGCTTCTCAGTCACCCGCCGCCACGCAGCGCTTCTTTCAGGCCACTCCGCCATCACCGGCCACCGCCGGCCGCCGTCACAGTTCCGACCGATGACCAGCGGATCTGAAGCGTCTCCTCGAGCGACGGCCAACCCCGCCGGAGTGATGACCAGACTCCTCACCACGCGCCGCTTCTTCTCGGCCAGTCTCGGCAGCGTGTTCTGCACGCGCCGCCTTCCCGGTGTCAGAGTTTCACCGCGTCACTGCAGATCGTCTCGCCGGAGCTTCTTGAGTGTGTTTTGGTTCCTGTTTCTCCGTTTTGTTGGCTTGGGCTCATACCTAGGGTTTTGCTGCTCTGATACCAAATTTAGTCCCTGCAGGTTCCATCAGTCAGTGATGGCAATTTAGTCTCTGCAGGCACCATCGGTCAGTGATGGCAATTTAGTCCCTACAGTTTTATAGCTGTCAACCGCCGCTGCAGTCGCTACTGTCTCAAACATTTCCGCCCTTCACATTAAGGGGGAGTACGTTTCCAAGACACTGCAAGTCACATAAATGTGGGTGTAGTCCCTGCAGTTTTGTAGATTTCAGCTACTACTGTTGATCCCGTCACCCATCCATCATTGATGAGGATTTAGTGTAGTCCCTGCAGTTTTGTAGCTCTTAGCTTTCAGCTACCACTGTTGATCTCGTCACTCATCCATCATTGATTGGGAATCAGTCCTTGCAGTTTGTCATTGTCCACCACTGCTCTCCTTCATCCACTTTTGAAGTTGAAGTGTCACGAGCTGCTGTTAGTCCATGTTTGCCTCACTCTTGAAGACAAATCATCTAGTTCAACACTGAGTTCATCTATTCCAAGCTTAGTTCATACAATTTGTATGCTCCAGCTTGAGGGGGAGTGTTAGATATATTATATCTTTTATTTTTTAGTTAGTTTGTTATTATTTCTCATTTGTATTTTGGGCTTAGCCCATATTTCTTTTATTATAAATAGAGAACCCTATGTTTGTATTTTACACAAGGGAGATTAATCCAAATATAGTTTTCCACTATATTCAACAACGGGCTTAGGCACATCTCTATGTATTTTCTTATTTATAAATGCATATTAGGGATTCAACCCATGCCCCTCTCTTTTATTTTAACAAATGGATTGGACCTATAATCCAAAAATATGAATTTGGACTTGAGATAAATCTATTTAAATAGATTTAAAGTGATACGGATTTAGAAAATTATGGATTAGATTTAACAATTTGGATCTTTTGCTCACCCTTAAATGAAAGATTTAATCTCCTAAAAATACCCTCCAAAGGACAGTCATCAAATAGAATTTTCAATAATATGTATTCAGTCTTCAATATCTGTAAACAAGGACTGTACATGCCAAAATGATTATTTGATATGGAAACAAGCACAGGGACTTTTATGTAATGTAACAATTAACAAGACAGTTCAGACATCCAAGTTCTAATCCTTCTTTTTTTATCAACAAAGCTGTAATACTAATGCAGCCTCTTGAAGCAAAGAGTCACATCCATTTACTTAACTATAAT